TATAAATATGAGACAACCATTATTAATATCATTAGTTCTTTAGAGGGAGGAATTGTATACGAATCTGAGTGTAAATAGAAACCCTTTGTTGAGCATCAATTACGTGTGGACACTGTGTACATGTGTATTAGAATTTTTTAGCTGCAAGTAATAAGTAACCATGCCAAAAAAATAGATAGCTATGTTTTCTGACATACCAAGCATTCCAGAGGTGCTCCTTTGGCCTTTCCATCTTTTTTTTTTTTAAATCCTTACCCAAGGAGTGAGGATATTTTTTCTATTGATATTTAGAGACAGTGGAAGGGAGCAGAGAGGGAGAGAGAGAGGAAAAGAGAGAGAGAGAGAGATAATCATCAATTGGTTACCTCCTGCTTAAGCCTGGATCAGGGCCAGGGATAGGACCTATAATCCAGTATGTGCCCTTGACAGGGTATTGAACCCGAGACCCTTTGGTTTGGGGACTGACGCTCTTATCACTGAACAAAACCGGCCAGGGCTGGCCTTTCCATCTGGATTACAAGATGGCTATGTTACCCAGGCCTCACTTCCAAGTTTAAGGTGGGAAGAGGAAGAGATGGGAGGGCAGTCAGACTCAGCAGTTCTGTGTCATCAGGAAAGCAAAAGCTTTTCCAATAACTCCCAGAAGAATTCTACTGGGAGTAGAATTCCATTAAATCTCATTGGCTTGTACATAGTCACCCTAACCACCAGGGAGCTTTGATGAGAAATGGCTTCTGGGTAGCCACCTGAGGAGTTGTGCCACATGCATATAAAGCAGCGTAGTTGGCACTGTGTAAGTACTCAACACATGTTAGCTATTTTGCATGCCTGTGATGTGTGTGCGTGTTGTGTGTGTGTGTGTGTTCATTTCTCCTAACAATCCTATGAGGTAGAATGCTCTACAAATGAGGCCTAATGCTTAGCTGGTAAAAGGTAGAGCCAGACCTTAGACCCATTTTTTTTTTTTTTTTTTTTTTTTTTTTTTTTTTTTTTTTTTTTTTAGTCAGAGGGCTCTTTTCATTGCTACTCCATGACTTGCCCTCCCCTTAAACTGGCCTCTTAGGTCTTGGTCTTAGAATAACATTACACCCAAGTGGGCTTGATGTAAAGAGAAGGTAGAAAAGGATCAGCTCTGAAATAAGTTGGTGCCTATCCTGGGGTTTTTCATGGAGTAGCAATGAAGTCACGAGAAGAGACTCCGTAACTAACACAAGCTAGACGTGTGCCTCCACCTAAGTGTAGTCCCTTTGGAGTGGTCACCCTGGGAGATTGGGCCCTTGTTCTGATGATAGCACTGCTGCCCAGAATTCCTGTGGGACTTTTCCTTTACAAGTCAGAAAAGACCTCAATCCCATTACTGCAAAATACACCTCATGTCTGATCCCAAACCCAGCTGCAGCTCCTCATCTCATTTACCACGAGTTCCAAATGGCTTTTGACTGTTGCCAAAAATAAAAAATCATTCCCCAGAGACAGAATTGTATTGTAATTTAGATGCACAAGAATGAGTTGAATGCTCTGCAGGCAATTTTAAAATCAAGATGATAGAACAATTTAAAGTAGCAGAAGCACTATTGAAATAATATACAGTCCCATGTCAATATCTTGAAAGAATACATTTCTAAATTTGGTCGTATAATTTCTGCTGTGTACGAAAAATTACTCACTTTGAGGGGCATTGTGAAAAGAGCACTGGACTTTGTAAATATTCCAATGGGATAATGCTTAATGAGGGTCAGAGCACTGAGACATGGGACCACTCTTGCATTGTAAAGTGGTATCACTTTCTCAGAGCAATTTTGTAATAAGCATCAAGAACCTTTAAAGAGTTTAAATCAGTTGACCTAGAAATTCCACTCATTTAAATCTTTCTTAGGGAAATAGTCAAAGAGGCAGACAAAGATTTATGTATACAGTAATTCATTTTATTTGTAAAATAATAAAAAGAAGTAAATAACCCAAATACCACAATGGGGAAACTGTCGGGTAAATTTTGGTGTACTCATGAAGTGAAATAATGCAGTCATTTAAAATGATATTTTTGAAGAATTGTCAGTGATGTTTGAAGATATTTACAATAGAATAGGTGATAAGATAGACTATTAAACTACATGAATTATATGTCCCATTTTTACTTTTTATATGCCAAAAAAAGGCTCAAAATATTACCAGTCATTTTATCTGGATGATGAAATCATAGGTTATTTTAAATTTTCTTCAGTATAATTTTATATATATATATATTTTTTGATCATCATAACTAAAAATATTACTTTTTAATTAGAAAAATATGTGTAATGAAAATTACTTTTTAAGAAATAAACATATTTTACTGGGAGAGAAGAGATCTGCCCCCAGGAAGCTGATGGCTTAATGGAGGAAGTGAGACACATTCACAAATAAATGCATTCAAAGGTAGCAAGGGCTCTAATGGAAGTTTTACAAAGTGTGGAAGGAAAGACTAGCTCTTCCTTGGAGAGCTGAGGGTTGGTGAAAACAGGTAACATTTGTGGAGGGTCTGGAAGGATGAATAGGAGTTCTCTAGGGCTTTGTAAGTTGTTAAGCACTATGTAAACAAAGGTTAGTTTGGGGCCTTTATAATTACTGTCAGAGTTTAGCTCATATAAAGCTCTCTTTCTTGTCTCTTTCCCATGCTTTCTAAGCCCAGGATCCCTGGGACAGGAAGCAGCGGCCATTAAACAGTCACACATCAGTGCTCTAGCAAGTGAACTGAGGTGCATCCAACTAAGGAGCAGATCCAGGACCAGAGGACATAAAATTATCTGGGAGCAGGGCCAGGACGGTGCTGGTGGGTAAACAATTCCCCTTTATTTGCCATCCTGTGGAAAGGCTGGCTTTGCTTGGGGCCTCCACCCTGAGTTATGGGGCCATCTCCACCTGGGAGATGGTAAAAACTGAGAGCAAGCATCACACATCAGTCCGTGATTTATATTGGCAGGAAATGGTGTGTCAGTTGTCCTTACAGCCCCCAGACAAGGTGGAGATGAAAGAAGGGGTGTAAGTGAGGGGTCTAGGAAGGCTGGCAAGAGATGACTTGGGAGAAATCCTTAGAAGCTCAAGGTTAGATTTAAAAGTTATCTAATTTAATCCTCCTGATCCCTTTCTCAACATTATCATGCTGCCATCCTTCTCTGCCTTTATGGTGGACAGAAAGGCCACCTCTTCTATTACCTCCCACCTCAATTCCTATGTTTCAGTCATTCCTCATTGTTCAATTATATGAGAAAAAAAAATAAAGATACCTTCTGTATCTGTTTCTTGTTTATTTATTCAGACAACAAACATATATTGAACACCTACATTAGGCCCTGCAATGTTCTAGATGTTGTGATAGAATGAAGAAAAAGTCAGCCAAGGTCTCAGGTGCTCATGGACCTGTCATTTGATCCATGATTCTCATGGACCATTCATTGTAGTGGAAAGACATACAATAAACAAAGGAACAAATAAGAAAATAGCAGATTATAAATGTCAATGAGTCAGCTTTCAGAAGAACTTTCTATATAAGGAGAGCAGCTAATTCTAAGATCTTAACCTTTGTTTGCTCTAGGAACAAAAACAAGGAGCCTGGCATTGTGCACTTTATCTGCAAATGAAAATCTTCTCATGTTTTAGGACTTGGCTTAAGCATTGCATCTTCAGGCAAACCTCTCCTGATTTCCCCAGGTAGATGTGACCACTGTCTCCTTTCCCCACCATTGACTCTGAGTATGCTTCTGTAGGCACATTCTTACCATAGTATAGCATCGCTACTCCCTAGTGGACCCCAGGGCAGAGCTTCCTACTCAACCCCTAATGCCCAGTACAGAGCCTGGCACAGAGTCTGTATCAGTAAACATTTATTCCTTGAATATATGAACTCTCACATATCTTCTTGGTGATACTTATTCAGAATTATCAACTACTTATTTATCAGAGCCAAGTCCTATGTGGAGTACTTTCAACTCTGCTAATGCATTTTTTGTAATCAAATCTTTATTGTTGAAAGCATTACATATGTCCCCTTTCCCCTACCCCAAATGATCCCTTCTAGCCCTCTCCTGCCTCTGCCTGAGGCTTTCACTACTCTATTATCTGTGTCCATGGGTTATGCATACATGGACACAGACAAACTTTTATTGATCTCTTCCCACCCACCCATCCTCCCCCACCTACCTCATGACCATCATGTGTAGTGTTATTATATTATCCTGTAGTTGAAACTTAGAGAATCAAAGTGACTTCTGAGGCAACTCTAATAAGAATCAGAGCTGAGATTTGAACCAAGGTGTTTTTTAAAAAAAAATATATATTTTATTGACTTTTTACAGAGAGGGATAGAGAGTTAGAAACATCAATGAGAATCACTGATCAGCTGCCTCTTGCACACCCCCGACTGGGGATGTGCTCACAACCAAGGTACATGCCCTTGACAAGAATCCAACCTGGGACCTTTCAATCCATAGGCCGATGCTTTATCCACTGAGCCAAACCGGTTTCATCAGAACCCAGGTTTTTTGACACCAATACCCAATGCTTCATCTTCTATTATATGTGATGAACTGGTCATGCATTAGTTAATACGTGAATCTATCCTCTCTTTTCTCCTAGATAGCTATTTCCCTGAAGGAAGGGTCAATACGTGATTCCATTCTATATTTTGCATGACAACCGCACAGTGGTTTGTGTTTGTACATATTCAGTACATGAGTCTTAAACATCCAAGGAGTGGAAAAGAAAGTATGACTGTCCACCCAAAGTGAACCAACCTCTGATATCAGTTCATAGGATGGTGATGGGCTGGAGGGAGAGATGTTTTTGAGGGGAGGGGGCCTTCCCAGACACCTCCGCGCCCATCTGACCATCTCAGTAGTAGAGTACTTGTTTCTCAGAAATCACACCTTTTGCTCAGTTGTACATCTCAGCAGGCAGGTGGGGCACAGAGGGGAATGTGCATGGCTTCCAGTGAGTTGGGAAAATGAGGTTAGGTTTCAATTCAGATAGTTATTTGTGTTTTCTGGGTCTGCACGGTCGATAAATTTTCAATGAGCAGTGATTCTGTTCCTCATCTTTCACGCTTTATGGGACTTCAGGGAATGAAAGCATAACATCCTGCTTTCCCATAAGTTCTCTGGCCGCTACCCTGGCACCAATTAAAGACATGTCTATGCAATTAATCAAAACCAATTTGGAAGCACTCTGGCGCTGCTCCTCTGATGTGCTGCCTGCTCCACGTACAGTAGTTCCTCAGCTGCAGCCGTGGAGCCAGGCACATAGGAACTTTTGATGAACTGGCTGTACTGGCCCCAAGTGTTAACTATGTCATCTGACATGACTAATGAGGCTCCCAACTTGATCTGTGTGAGCAGAGCAGCCCTGCTGTCTGGAGGAGGCTCAGTTTCCACAGCCAGCCTTGAAAGAGGCTGCAACGTGCGTGGTACACACTCCATCATGTCAGCTGGAGTCCTGGAGGCCTCTAGTGTTGGAGCTGGGAGTCATCCACCGGGAGGGTGATGGAAACTGTGGACTAAGCCCTATACTGGGCGCTGGAGGGAATGTCTAGCTAAGCCTCCTCATTCTGTAGACATGGAAACCAAGACACAGCAAATATGTGGGACTTGTTAGACACCTGAGGGTTAGGGAGAGAAATGAAGGAGAAGAGATGGTCCCTATCCTTGAAGAGTTAAATTATAGATGCTTAGAAAAGTGACAACTGGAATGTGATGCAAGTACACCTTATCAAGGGTTAAATCATGGGTTTCCTTCTTTCATTCTGCAAATGTTTATTAATGGGAGGAGAGTGTGTTCTTGTCACCTCTGCAATCCCCAAAGCATGAAATCTGAAGTCAACAGATCCAGGTTACAGTCCCAGCTCTACTTTCAGTTGATGTAATCTTGAGCAAATCACTTCATTTTTCTGAGTCTTGGTTTCCTCAGCTGCAACACTGGGACAAGCCAATTACTGCTGCCCACCCACCCTACTTCCTAGAGTCCCGGGGAGGCCCAGCAGAGTTCAGGTGGGTGAAAGTGTAAGCAAGGGTCTCTGCACATGTTATTTATTATTCATATCATTACAGCCTTGAAGAACTCCTGGCTGAAAGCTCTGGAATAAGGATCCACAGCTAGATTTAACTCTTTTCCTCTTCCTGCCCCTTTAAAATGCACAGAAAGAAAAGAGTATAAAACCAACTGGTCAGCCAAAGCCGGTTTGGCTCAGTGGTAGAGCATCGGTCTGCGGACTGAAAGGTCCCAGGTTCGATTCCAGCCAAGGACATGTACATTGGTTGCGGGCACATCCCCGGTAGGGGGTGCACAAGAGGCAGCTGGTCGATGTTTCTCTTTCATCGACATTTCTAGCTCTCTATCTCTCTCCCTTCCTCTGTAAAAAAATCAATAAAATCAACTGGTCATATCTGCCTACAGGTTTAACAGTTTCCCCTCAGTTAATGACATAGAAAGAGGAGGAATTCAGCCATTGCAATTTAACGTCTTTCCACACATTGATTGAGCACCTACCATATGCCAGATGTTGGCCACACTGTGTAGGGAATCGGAGTTGGATAAGGCATGTTCCTTGGCCACTTTGAGAAGCTCACCAGTTAGGGGGAGAAACAGACCGGGACATAAATAACTAAATAAATAACTACTGCAGAAAAATACAATTACCATAGGAAAGATATAAATCAAGTGCTGTGGGACCAGGGGAGTTTGGGAAATGTTTCCTTAAGGAATTGGTATTAAAGGATGGGCAGGTTTAGCTCTGTCAGGAAGCACGGGAAAGGGTGCTCCAGACTGAGGTAACTAACAGCTTGGACAAATGCATGGAACCCTGAAAGGAATGGACAGAATATGATCAGTGAGGGATGATGGGCTGTGAGCATGAACAAAGGAAAATCACTGGGTCCCAGCTCTGAAATCCTGGCATGGTTGCTGCTATTTCGTTGTTCTCTTTGCTGGCTGAGGTCACCTTGGCCTCTCTGTCCTAATCAGAGAGAATCCCATACTGGTCCTTCCTCCAGCAAGGCTGAATCCAAGCCCCAGGCAGGCAAGACATCAGGGAATGAACAGGAAACAGCAACAACCATTAGATGCAAAGCAGCTGGGCTGAGAAGTGCCAGCCACAGCCATACCTTTCCAGCCCAGGTGAGAGCTTCGCACAAATGCAGCAATAACACCATTGTCTGGGGCATGATAACAAGACCGAAGCCTCTTGGTCTGGGTCACATGGGCTGGTCTCTCCTTTCCTGCTTTGTCTAAAGAAGCCAACTTGTTTGTGAGTACTGCTGTGAGAGTGCTTTTGGAGGGCTGGGAGCTGCAGCTAGATTCAAGGTATGGACAGGGGACAGCCCAGGGACTCATATTTTCTGTTTTCCCATTTTTCACTATATATTTTTTTATTTTATTTTATTTTATATATTTTCTTGATTTTTTACAGAGAGGAAGAGAGAGGGATAGAGAGTTATAAATATCGACGAGAGAGTCATTGATCAGCTGCCTCTTGCACGTCCCCTACTGGGGATGTGCCCACAACCAAGGTACATGTCCTTGACTGGATCCAAACCTGGGACCTTTCAGTCCGCAGGCCGAAGCTATATCAACTGAACCAAACCAGTTTCGGCTATATAATTGTTTTTTATTGTGCAAAGAATACAATGAAAAGTACATAAATCCTAAGATTAAGAGAAAGGAAAGAGAACATCTACTCACACATTATCTGTTTCCATTCCTCCTTGCCTCTTCCTGCTGTTCACTATGAGCATAATTTTTTTTTTTGGCTGCTTTCATCATTGATACAATTATATATCCTATTTTTATTGCTGAGAAGTGTATCATACAGCTTTTTCCATTTAGCTACTGCCAATCCCTGGTCTCCACACAGAGAGGGCCCTGCTTGCCCACGACTAAAGAAAGATGCCAGGGCCATGTAAAAGTGGTACCTCCTAGATAACATGGTTGTCACTCACAACTGGCATCCACTGACTGCTTTGCCTTCACATAGACCGGAGTTGGGATCTCAGCTCCGCTGCTTCAAATCTAGATGGCCCTCCCCCAACCCCACTCTATCTCTTTGAGCCTCAGGTCCTTGTCTGTAAAATGGATATGGTATTAATACCACCCTTATGGGATTGCTATGAAGATGAAATCAGACACCGGAAGGAATCATGATGACCCTGTTCTTTTGTAAGTGATTGAATTAAAGGCAGGTTTGTGACCCAGCTCTGACCAAAGCTGTGGGAGGGATTTCAGTGATGAGTAGCATATGCAAAGGCTTTGAGAGGAGAGATTTTGTGTTCTGCAAGAACACCTGGGAAAGGTTTTCTCAATCTTAAAAAACAAAACAAAACACCACAAATAAAGAGATAACCCTCTTCTGCTGCTGCATACTGTAGTATCTGGATGTGATGCCTCAAACTGTGGGAATCATCTTATTATCATGAGGAAAGCCAACCTAGGAAAGCTGGCAAATTGAGTTTGGAAAAGCATAAAGATAGAAAAAACCCAAATCCTTGATGAATTAATTTATCCATCTGAAATTTTCCTATTTCTGAACTTCTTGTCATGTGAGATAAATTTTTCCTTGTTGTTTCATTCCTTTTGAGTTTCATTTGTTACTTGTAGCTGCAGACATTCTAGGTGATACACATGTACTTTCTCATTTAATTGTCACCAGAAATCAATGAGAATGATGTTATTATCTCTATTTTACCTATTAGAAAATGAAAGCTAGGTAATTTGTCCAAAGTCATGGAGATTGGAAATGGCAGAATAGTATTTGAACCTAGTTCTGCCTAACTCCAGAGCTAGTGTTCTCAACCACATCATACTGAGACAATGAAAACTGAACCTCATCTGGCTGGCTCCAAGGACCATGCTATTTCTTCCATATTTTACTGCCTCCCTATTTCCGGAATGAAATTCCCAGAAACTTGAGTCCATGATATTTGGTACTTAAGATTTTATGGCCCCTGTTAGGAGGAAGAGGAGACAGGGTAGAAGGATTGCAAGAGGAAGGAAGCTAGACACATAAGTTGGCTTGGGTTGGTACTCCATTACCAGCAGATTGGGGCTTGGGATCTGTTGAAATGGATAACCTGGTCCCATGAAATTTTGTACATAAAATTCCTGTCTTACTTCAGGTATTTAGTCCCACTTACCCAACTGCCCTAGTAGGAAATTATTTGGCATCGTCCCCTGCTAGGGGTGTTAGGAAGAGAGATTCCTAACATCAAATGCAGGATTGGACAAAATGACAGCTAAGACCCATTCCTTTGCTGAAGAGCCTAGGATTACACAAGAATTACCAGGAAGGCTCTTATACTGAATGTACCAAAAAAAAAAAAAATATGGCAGTAATGAGGTACACAACCAACTCAAATATTTCCAAGCATCTTGTTTTCACTAGGCCCTGTCCTGGACATGGTGGTACAGATGAACATACATGACCCCTGTTGTCTAAGCTCAGTCTAGTGAGAAGGCTAAGGCATGGGACCACATTATTAAAATAATGAGGAGACTATGTCCAGGTTTAACAGAGAAAATACATTTTGTGGAGGAACCTCAAACAAGATGAGGTGACAAGTGACTGGAGCCACTTAGAAATATTGAAGGTAGCCTTGAGATGCAATTTGTAGAATGAGTAGGCTTTGAACAGGTGAGAATGAGCAGGGAGAAGGAAGAGAATTACCAAGACAAGGAAACTCCATGACTGTAGAGAATGGCAAGTGTTCTTCTGGTTGGAGTATTTGGTGTTTATAGTGGAAGATAAACCTAGAAAAGGCATTTGGGGTTGTCCTCTGAAAGGTTCAATGTATCAGGGCAGATGATTTGATTTGGATTTGGTAGGATATGAGGAGCCAATAAGACTTTTGATCAGAAACATAACACAATAGGCAGTTTGCTTTACTATATGTTAATTCAGCAGGTACAAGCACAATTGAAGTTGGAAAAGATGGAAAGTAGGGAGATGAACTTGAAGACTTAAGGAATCCCTTCTCCCTGACCACCTAGTGAAGGCTTTGCAATCAGCAGAGCCCAAGTATCTGGCGCACTGCCGAA